TGCCTACCCTTATAGCTGGAAGATCGTGAGCCCTGGATCTGGGGCCGACGAAGTAGACTACTTCGGCCTTATCTGGGTCGAAAGAGACGGCATTATCAGCAGCCCACCCTAGGACTGCATCGACTTCTCTCTGGACAGCTGCTGCGGCTTCGTTCGGAGTTGAACCTATGCCGAGGATGGCAACATCATCTGCATAGCCGAATCTCCAACTACTGCCTCCCACGACTTCGGCCATGTAAAGGAGGAAGAGAATCGGGGATAAAGGCGATCCTTGTGCCAGCCCGCACTCTAGGTGAATTGGGTCTGTTACTCCATCCTCGTGTCTGACACGGGCCGATCGTTCTTTCAGGAAAGACTTTATCCAAGTGATGGCTGGTTTCGGCCACCCAACTTTGTTCATCCTTTGCAGTAGTCGTCCGTAGAGTACAGCGTCAAATGCACCCTGAACGTCTAGAGTGACAAGGACTGCCTTCTTCTGCCTCTTCATTGCATGCTCCACATCGTGGATAACGCATGAGACAAGGTCATTAGCTGATCTGCCGGAGAGTGCTCCAAAAAGCTGCTGCGGCACGGCCTTGTACGAGATGGCGGTGTAGGCCATGCGCCTTGCGACTAGTCTCTCAAGACCTTTGCTGAGAGAGGATAGCAGTGCGATGGGCGTCCATCCTTTAGCTGTACTGAGATTACGGCCAGGTTTGGGGAGAAGAATTACTTCCGCTAGCTTGAATGCCTTCGGGAAGTGGTTCAGTCGAAGTGAGCCTTCAAATAGTACTCTCACTGCTTGTCCTATTGACGGCCAGGCTGTCCTAAGAAGCCGCACAGAAATCATGTCTGCTCCGGGAGCCCTATTCTGGCAGGCCGTTGTGACCCACTTGGCTTCTTCATCAGTGACGCTTGAGACACATGGAGGGTTTCCGCGTCCTGGCTCGAGGTGTTCGATGTCCACGTCGTTTTGGCTGGTGAACCGGCCGAGAAGGAGATCGCGCAATAGGAGTGCACGCTTTCCTGGATCCGATACAAAACCATCCGGAGTTTGGAGTGGTGGAGTAGCAGATGTAGAATGCGGCTTTGCCCAACGTGCCATCCGATACATGTCGATGTCTGTTGTAGCTTCGGAGAACTTTCGCCGCCAGTATTGGCGTTTCGCACTTCTGACTATGCGACGGAAATCCTTTCTGCTCTCTTCGTCCCTGAATATCCTGTATTCGCGTTTGGCTTGTGCGCACTCTATCGTCCACCAAGGTGCCGTCCTACCCTTCTTCGTACTCCCGCGTCTTCCGGTAGCCCTGATAGCATCGCTGATGGTTTGAACCAGTTTATCCGCAAGGTTGTCCACCGCACTTGTTGAGACCATAGGCTGCATCCCTATTCCATGGGCCCATCTACCTAGTACCTTTGCGAAGTCTTCGAGGGCGTCGTCTGTCACTCGTACCGGTTGACCAGTTTTGATAATCGCTATGGCTTTCGAGTTCGGGCGGGGAACGTCTCCTGCAAGCGTTCTATGGTCCGATGTTGAGTCAAGCTCTGTCGAGACATCTGCAAGGGCACCAGCGTTAGACCAAACTAGGTCGAGTGTGTTTCCAAAGTCGTGTGTTGGGACGCCCGGTGTGGAAGATAGGTCCATACCGTGCTCGAACATCCACTCGGTGAGCACCTGGCCGTCACCGTGTAGCCTAGTAGCCATTGGCTGCCAGTCGGTGTGAACAGCATTGAAATCTCCGCCAATAACTGTAGGCCCAGATGGAGCCCATGATAGCAGCGGCAAAAGGTCTGCTCCAGGAGCGCGATACACAGAGACAAACGTGACTCCTTCAACCTTTACGGCGGTAAGATCTGGTGATGCCACGCAGATTGCTAGTTGTAGGCACTTGGTCCCTTTTCGCGTATAAATGAGGGAGCGTAGCCTTGCGGGGTTGGCTGTGACATGGGGGGGCAAGTGCTTGTCGAACCCGGGATGCGACTTGGAGAGCCAGAAGCCGTCCTTGTGTTTAGTCCAGGGTTCCTGGATGAGTAGGACATCGGTTCCTGAATCCTAAGCGGATTACAGGATGATGTCCGTAGCCGGGTCTCCTCTGCCCAGATTAGCGCAGAGGAACGAGATTGTTGTTGCCGTTTTTTGAAGCTCGGTTGGGTTGTGGTCCCTTACGGGCATTGAGCAACGTTTGTATTTTCGTTTTCGGCAGTAGCCTCGGTGGCTTTCTGCTTTGCTTCCATCTCTCTGATCGAAGCGTTCCTTTCTTTTTGACCCTGCTCGCGGATCACCGACAGCTGGTCCTTTGTGCGTTGCACCGTCATCCCACCAGCCCGAGTCGGCCTAGCCATACAGTTAGGCTCAGTTGCAGCATGTGGCCCGTGGCAATTGATGCACCTTGGTACGGCCTGTTTGCACTCAGTAGCTTTGTGCACAATTGAGCCACAGCGGGTGCAGCGCTCTGCTCGTGAACAAATTTTAGTTGGGTGATGTCCCCAGCATCGGTTGCATTGCGCAATTTTGAGCAAGCTCAGGAGTTCGTGAAGGCGCCCGCTTTCTTCAAATAGTCTTTCTCCAAGTTTCGGTTTTCCTGTTGCGAAGTGCAACACCCAGTCCGTTGATGGCCTGGCCATGCTAGTAGCGAAAGCACGAGCTGAGGTTGGTCTAACTCCTGTTTTGAGAGCTGCTTCTTCTATTACCATCTCTGGTGTCACTATGGTGGGCCCTTCCAGAGTGTAAAGCTTGTCTGGGATATTCGGTGCCAGGACTGATATCCAGTTGGAGGCGGCTTCCAATTTCATTTCTGAGCTATCTAATATGGCTCCTCCTGAGAGAAGTGCACCTCTAGCTCCTTCCCCTTCGGCTTGTATTGCGAACCCAGAGTTCACGACAGTGACCTGTTTGATTGTCGAGTTGGCCAGACGCAGCTTGCTAGCTAGGCTAATCTTTACGAAGTAGGGTGACATACGTCTCCACGGGTGGTCAGATTTGAGGCGCAAAAATACGCGCTCGTCAGGTCGCTGGGGGTTTGTTGCTGGAGCTTTAGGCTTCGGCGCGGAAACGGGCCTCACTGGCACTGTCTTAGGTGTTGAAGTTGGAGCCACTTGGTTTGCTGGCTTGTTTCTTTTTCCCAACACCTCGGTCCAAGATTTCTCTGTAGCGTTGTTGTTGGTTTTGTTTGAGCCCTGGTTGGGCTGGAGAGTTGCGCTTGTGGCTACCGGCCTTTGTGGTGCCGGTCTATTCTTTTCTCTGGCAAGGATCAACACTGGACGTGTGACGCTTGCAGGACTTTGTTTTGGAGGCTCTGTGACTTGAGCCGGGTTAGATGTGTTAGTATGGCCGCTTGCAGCCTTTGGGGGAGCGTTGGCGTCTGCTTGAGATGGGTTGCCCCATAAAATTTCCAGTATCTTGCCCTGAAGGGCCAGTAAGTCCTGATCAAAGAGTTTTCGAAGTCTCTCGTCAGTGACTGGTTCCAGCAGCTTGCAGAACCCGATGATGAAACGCTCTGCTTGTGCAGAGCGCGTCTGGAATATCCTGCCCTGTTCGGCGAGGAATTCGGTCGCGACAATTTGAGGCGACGGAGTTTGTTGATGGGGCGAGCTTCGATGACTCGCCTCGTAGATTGGCTCTACAAATTGTTGGGTGGGTGGTTGTGATGGCGGTTGTGGCCCGTTAAGGACCATTTCGACGTCTTGACGCGTCGAACATTGAGTGGGGAGGGGGGGCCAGGGGCCAGCCTCTGCGGAGGACTGGGGCGGCATGGGTGATTGAGAGATGAATTTGTCAGTAAAATGTCGTAGGTGGAATGCGATGTGATGGATTGCGTTTTTTTTTTCAAGATATGAAACTAAAGGTTTGAAAGGTGTGTGTTGGAAAATATGTTGGAACTGGGGGTGTCTTCTGCGTTGTAATTTACCTTCCACTATTTGTGTATCGGGTCCCGCGGTTGGAATAAGTTGGGCGTGTAAGCAGTGATCCCCGCCGGCTCCACCAGTCTAGTACCCAAAGTGGACCTAAAGCTTTAACGTAGGACTTAAACATGAAAGAAGAAACTGCTTTTCTTGTACATGTAAATCTGTATGTTAAGTTCTATTGTGATCTACAGGGTATATCTTCTATATGCCTAAAGGCTACTACTATCCGGATGTGTAATTACTCTACAGCAGTGGAATGTGCAACAGCTATTCCGAATCTCGCGCAGGGTGACTATGGACCGAACTTTTTGGATCTGTATCAAGTCCTCTGCAAATTTACAGGAATAGTTTAAAGCTTCTAGGCTATTTGCTGGGGAAAGATCTCAAGGAATATTGTAGCACTTATAACTATCGCTATTATAACCTTGAATGAATTGACTACACAAACTATCTTTAAGTTACATGGATCACCAATTGGTCTAAATCATGAGCAAACTTTCTGTTTTGTTTCTGTTCATACATTTATGATTTGATAAGATATCGTTAATCGTCCTTGGATTCAGCCTAGAGCATTCAACTTCGTGACTTAAGATTATCGAATTTTCGTGTAGCTTGGAAGATGTAAAAACTTCCTGTAGCGTTGCGTAGAAGTATTTAAATGTTCAAGATCTTTCAGCATGTAATTTTTGCCTTTGTGGAACTTTGTCGAAGGCTTTGACCAGCTAGCTTCTGATAAATCTTCATATTTACAGTATCATTTATGAAATAGATATCTCTAATTTCTGAATCGGGCAGATGAAATTAAACCTAATATGTGTGATCAGAGATTCACTACATCACTTCGCTTAGCTAAAAATAGCAACACTCTATATTCTTAGAAATTGTAGCGAAGTAATTGGTCTAGCTTCATTTCTATGTATCTGAATGACTTAGCTCGGTAAATTAAACCGTGTGTTGTGCATCCCAGATAATAGTTAATTTTTAGGGTTTTTGAGATTCAAAATTTTTTGAGATAAATTTATTCAACCCATGTGGGGACGAGGGGATCTGTACTTTCTTTCGGGTATAAATTAGACGGTCGATGGTCCATTCAAATAATTACTAGTTTCTAGAGTTTATGATCCGCCAGGTCCACCGAGCAGAGCAAATCTTCTAACGATAGACGGCCTAATATTCCTGATGTTAGCGATCGTATTTTTTGTTTAGGAAGCCTATTTAGAGGCTCATCTAAGAAGGGATAGGTGTGAGTCCAACACTCATAGTACGTACCCAATTTCATCATACTCTGCTTTGGTGTGGCAGTAACTTCTAAACTCTGGTGTTTGGCCCAGTAAACTTCCACCAAACCAAGGCCCATGTCGCTGCCGTTTATGTGAAATAACTTGGACTTCCATCCCACCGCTCTTTGCGCCACCACTTTTCATCTCACTTGCTCTAATTCTAGCATCAACCAAGTGTTTGATATCCCTCTGCAACCTCCGACCAAAGTCTTTGTAGAGTGTACTCCCTCCTGAGAGTACAATATTTTTGTAGAGTCCTCTTCGAACATCAATTGGCGAGGTCTGAACAACACTGTCAACGACTGAGGGTAAGGGTGTCAAAAATTCAGAAGAGTAAATCTCGGGATTGAAAAAAATTTCTGGCGCTATAAATCGTTCAAACCCAACATCAACTGTTACCTGCCGACCACCAGATTTTATGACGTTGTGTTTCAGAAACCTCGTGGGATCACGATCAAATCGATTAAATTCCTTCACCATGTCTGGACATACGTAGCAGTAAGCCTCTTTTATTTCCGCTGCGGTCTTCAGTGATGAATCGGGTTCCCCACGATCCCGTAGGAGTGATTGGATAAAATATGTGATATCCCGGCCCGCTATTGGAATTGATTTGATTGAAGATCCAATCACGTACCCTTCCGCAACGGGTATGACATGAGTTACACCATCACCAGAGTCGATAACCGTTCCTGTTAATGATCGATCGGAAACTTTTGATGAGGTCCATGAAGCAGCTAGTGCAAGAACAGCTTGCACAGCAATATAAAGCCCGGCACAATTAAATGACTCAAACATAATTTCTGCTGTATTTTCTCGGTTTTCGGGTGGATTTAGCGGCTATATCTTCTTAGCATAAACTCCTATCATCTCAATTATCTTCGAACATACAGGCTCAGTAAGAAGAAAATAGTGATCTTCAGGCTCGACCCGAAGATATTTGAATATGGAATTTGACCAGAAACGTTCCATATGGTCCTGCATCAATCAATTTTTTTATCTCAAATAATTCAGGAGATGGTACCCAATTTTCTACCTGCCCATGACGTATAGGATAATGTACACTATATCCTATATACTTAGAAAATGTAAATAAACGTATAAATTTTTCATACCTGGTCCATTTGCCGCTGCCAGGGCTTCATCGCCAATGAAGAAATCCAGATCTTCCGTTCCCCTTTTCATGGAAAGGTGCCCACCAGGGTTAGATCCCCCTGTCAGATAAGAAGGTTTATTTGCAATTGCTGGCCTGCCTGATCCTGTTCCCCCACTGCCTGCTCCTGGACCTTTGGTTGCTATTGCTGTGGGAAATACGAATGATGGAGAGTCATTTCCAGCAAACCCTTTAATATAATTTAATAAGAATTTCGTAGCAAATAGGTAGCAGTTAAACCTCACCAAGCTTTGAGAATCCAGTGCCACTGTCAAGGGTTTGTTAGTCATAGTAGGAATGGCTTAAGCCCTCGGATACCTACTTGTCCATAACAACGGCTGGAGTACGTGAGGCCATGTTTTAGAAATTTGATTTACTTTCTTCCTGGGATTTTGAAATACTGTGTTGCTTGTGTAAGTAAAGAAAGAATTGTGATTAGGTCGCATAAGCTTGTAGCTCCATGCTCGTCATCGCTTAATACACTCTACCGGATTATGGTTATCTTCTGATTTGATAAGAAGAACGGAGGCCAGACATATGTCGCTCGTGTCCTCAGCCATCCTGGAATGAAATATTTGCCTTCATCCGAGTTTCAGGCACGGTAAAGGGTACATTCCAGAGCTCTTGATGAGATGATGATCGAGAGAATTGGTGTCGGCAACTTTTAGGTAAAAAATCCGACTTTCTGAAATTTTGCAACTGCCCAACTCAATTAAATCAATCTTCTACAACCTAAATACGAAATAAAGATAGGTTCAAGCCTATCTCATATTCCTGTTAAAAAAACTAATGAACTTCACTATCTCGAATTTCCTGGAAGACTCTTTGCGCCTAAACTCAACTCGCGTCAAGAGCTTGACCATCATCACCCATTAGCAAATATTAAGCACATCAATATTCAAATTTACGGCCGGCAAAGACGAATTCTTCATCCTCCAGTGGTGCCGGTTTAATCGCTCAGTGTACTCTGCATATCAGGGAAAGCCAGGATGAATCGCATCCGAATCGCATCCGAATCGAAGTCGAAAACAAACACAAACATGTCTCCATTTGACGACTTCAAATCATGCAACACTTAACATTCTCCTCTGAGTATTCAACTCCTTTCCATCCACACATCATCTCGCCTCGACGATCAATAAAGAAGTTGCTCCAATTGCATACAGGAGCTTGCCCAATAAATTTCCAGCCATCTTCCACTACATATTTACGACGCTATTTATATCCGAAAGGAGGAAATCAAGTCTAAAAACACAAAGCCTGGGTCCTGGCTTATGGGGGACTAATGCTCTAAAGGGGTTATAAATCTTGAGGAAGGACAGGCGGCTGAGATGTGAAACGAGAGGGGGAACAGGTCTCTAAAAACCATGCTGGGACAGACATTTAGGAGGGGTTTTCAACTTTGGAACTTTTGTGGCCGCTAAGACGAAGGTTTCGGCAGATTAGCCAGGAGGACTTCAATTGTCGATGGATCAGCGACACTCCCCGGAGCCCTAGACGGCTTAAAAGAAGTTAGGCTAGGCTACCATACAGCAATCAAGCTCTGTCAAGACTTTTCTGACATTTCAGCACGACCTTCGGGAAGGAGTTGGAAGGAGGCTAGAAAGGCAGAGAGTGAATTTCCCAAGGTACACACAAGTCTGCAGCGCCCAGCTGGCCAGCCTCTTCGAACGCTTCAGAGGGGTCACTATGTCTTCGGATTTAGTCCCAATGTCGGTATTAGAAGAGCTCCGCACCCAGTAGTTTATGCGATTTTTTCCGGCTGCCATACACCCGTAAATGGCCATCCTTTCGTTGGCTAGAGAGGGACGATAATGAAGGGTAAAGGGCTCCTCTAAGTGTATGATCAAATGAGGACTTGTGAGGGGTGGTACTGTTCGAGGGGAGCTGTATGGGAGGTATAGGATGGTATATACTGCTGGTATAGGTATCCTTGGCTTGTAGGCAGAGAAGACCTGCATATCCTGCATAGCCATAGGCCCAGGAAGAAAAAAATGAATTAATAAAAAAATAAAAAAGCAGAAAAGATTGGAGTTCGCCCAATTATATTTAGATTGGAGCGAGGAACAATGGAGTCAAATGTTATGGACTAATAAAGCCTGGGTATTGGGTGATTCTCATATGAAACCTCGTGTCACAAGAAAAGTACGTATAAATTCTATCAAAATCTTACATGTACTAACAGCAGAGTTTAGCCTGATGATGAGTTTCATGAGACCTGTATTGTGACTCATCATGCTCAAGGGAACAGCTAGACGTTTTGGGGATCATTTTACGGACCACTGAAAGGCCCATTCTTAGTCTAGGTGAAGGATAAGAGATCAGTGAGGGCCTCATGTTTTCGTGAAAGGGTTTTGCCTCTTTTAGTGAGAAATCACAGCAAAACTATGTGGAAGTCACGTGATCGTATGTGACTGAGCCAGATCGAGAAAGCAATTGATCATCAAAAGAGCTCACTGTTTCATTCTTCTGTACTACTTCGAGAGTCTGATTTTAATACCTCTCTCTGTGATTCCTTTTCGCCCCCTCTCAGTTCAAAGGCGAGATTTCATCCTTCATACCTGGATGGTCAATGGTCTGTTTAAAGGATTCGGCGACGAGTGGTTAAGTGTAACCATCAGCAGGGTTTTCCTTCGATGCCACCTGGCAAATTTTTATACTGCCTGGTCTCACCTGCTGTACTAATTCATTGTCTACCTCAAATGGTGCCTTCAGTACCTGCAGAGCATGATTATCATATGGGCGGTGAATTATTCTTTTAGGACGCCCTCGCTCTCTTGGTTCAACAATTGGTAGTTCTTCGCTATCCGGAGCATTGTAGTCTTGATTCCTTGCATAGTCCGTCTTTCGTGATCTTAATCCATCCTGTACGTGTCTTGGCAGAGATCTGATTATTTCTCTAAGATCAACACCCCAACCAAGCTCTGAACTTATGTTCTCGTATGCAATGACGTGCCGAGATATGAGGAAACGTCCCCCGTCCAAAAGCCAGACTAACTTATTCATGGTACCTCGATAGCCAAAAATACACTCCTTGTTCTATTAGCGTCAAGCTTCTCGCCTGCTATCTTGTGACTGGCATCCATATGGGTGATACACAATGTTCCAGGAATCCACAAATGATCAATTCTAGGAGTCGATTTGTCGGGGTCAAACCGTGACCAGTACACTTGCCATGGTGTTCTGTGACCGTCAACGGAGCTTTGAGATGTTAGGTTTAACGTGTAACAGGTCATTTCAAGTATATAGTTCCAGAAAACAGATGGCACCTTCATCTGGATTGCGCAACAGCGTGCTGCATCTTGTACAGATCTGATTCCTCCCTCTGATACTCCATTCTGGTACTGATTATCTGGAGCTAATATGACCACATTTATCTCCTGCTGAGTAGCAAACTCTTGGAATGTGGTAAGCCCCCAATCCCTTCCGCCGTCAATTGTGACCTGCTTCACCCTTACATTAGAGAGCCTTCTTAGATCAGAGTTAGCCTGAGATAGGATACGCTTGATCTCCTCAGCAGCCTCGCTTTTCTTCTTTAAGGCGCGAAAGAATCGGAAACGAGAAAGATCCTCCGTAGTTAAGCAGAAATATCCATGATCCTCAATTGAAAGCGGATTTAACGTGCCAACATCACAGTGCCACCCCTCTCCAACATTCTTCATACTAGGCAACCTCTCCTTCGTTGTGAACTTCAGAGATTTACCCATATCATAAGCCTTGCAAGGTAGGTTTTCGACATCGGACACATTAAGGTCTATTCCAACTGTGTTCTTTATAGTCCAAATTAGCCTTTCAGAGCTTGGGTGGCAGAGTCTCCGGTGCCAAAGTACCAGCATCCTTATCACTTTTTCAGATATGATAAAACAACCGTCCACCGGACAAGATTGGTATTCCCGAATCAATGTAGATTCATGGTCGGATAAATTCCTCTTTGATATCTCTGATATTGTAGAGCTAGCGCTAACTTTCTTCTTTCGCGTTAGTGACTTGACTGGTTCAGGCTGGTTGTATAGCCATAAGAAGAGTCCTCGGCGCTCTGCATCGATATGGGACAGGACTTCACCATTAGGGCTAACTATCTGATCACCCTTTAACCGTCCACCTTTTCGATAGAAACGCTCGCCACTAACAATGTTCAACGGGAATTCCTTAATGTAAACAACGTATTTGAGTCTCATGATAGATTTGCTACCATTGGGGCCAGTCAGTGGTAGCCAAACTTCACCAATACACTCAGCGAATACAGTCCCATTTCCAGTCTGTATCGGGAACTGGTCAGGTTTAAGTTCAACAACCGTTCTAGGTCTGAAATTTTGCCGTTTGTTATTAGCATCAACATCAGCCCCAGTATCAAATAGCCAGCGATCGGAAGATATATTGACACATGCGGTACTCAAAATTTGTTGAGTAACATTAACGTTGCCAATCCGAGGAATGAAGCCCGATATATTTGCATTGTCATTTGTGTAGAAATTATTACAAATTTCACTGTCATTTTCAGTTATTTCAATGTTCTTACAGCGTCTCCGCATCATTTCTTTCTCATAGTATTCCACAACCTGATCATATATATCAGGCCTAGCTTGGGTGGCGAAATGATAGCCCGACGACTGTTCTTCTTTTACTTGACAGTACTCATCAGCGATGACTGGAGGAGGGCCTGTGTCATTTTCATTCTTGCTCGCAAGAAATGATGTTTTGTTCCCAACATAATCTCTTTTGTTGGGGCACTTGGTCTTCACATGATCATACTTCCTACAGTTCCAACAGCGGGTGCCTTTGCCCTTGCCCTTCGAGTTTTGATTTTTGTTCAGGGTGTCTTTCGGTTGATCTGGATAATTGCTTTGTGTATTCCCCAGCGTTCCTTTGATCTCGCTCTGGCAACTTTGAGCACCCTTTCCGATTTTTTCCTGGTGAGCTGCGATGAAATCTTGCAATAGTGTCTCAAGCTTCCACTGATTGAATCGGGCAAGTGTGGATACCATTTAATACCAACGGCCAGACTTTTCTTCGACTGCTTGTTTGAGTAGAATCATGAGCTGTGTGCTCGATGATTCACCAACAGCAGCTTGGAAATTTCTTGCTGCTGTCTTGAATTTGGTGACAAACTGTACTTGAGACCAATGAGCTTCTCCCACAACGCTTCCACTTGCATAATCCCAGCTCGGCTGAAGGTTGACTCAAACAAGCGCATCATCTCTGTACCACTTCTTATTCCTGAAATCATTTCAGAGAGTTCCGGCATGACAGTTCTCTGAATAACTGCCGCGAGTTTCAACTCGTCAAGCTGTTTCAGCTTTAATCCGATCCGAAAACCAATGCACTTTAATTGAAGCAGGATGGTCTCTCTGTATATC